TGAAGAGGACATAACATGGCAGATAAGCACACGAAAAGATGCTGAACACCATTAATCATTAGGGAAATGCAAATTAAAACCACAATGAGACGTCACTACATACCTATCAGGATGGCTAAATTAAAAAATAATACTAACACTGAATGCTATTTAAAGATTTACAGGAATTTAATCACTCATACATTGGTGATAGGGATATAAAATGGTAAAGCCACTCTGGAAAATAATTTTACAGTTTCTTATAAAACTAAAAATGAACCTACTATATGACTCAGCAATTGCACTCTTGGGGCTATATCCCAGAGAAATGCAGACTTATGAAGGTTCACAAAAAAACTTCTAAACAAATGTTGCAGTCACTTTATTCATAACAGCCCCAAACTAGAAGCTACCCCAATGTCTTTCAACGAGTGAATGGTTAAACCTTAGCACATCCATACCATGTGCGTGGTTTGAATGTGTCCCCTCCAAAATTCATGTGTTGAAAACTTAAATCCCCAATGCAACAGCGTTGGAAGGTGTGGCCTTTTGGGAAGTGTTTAGGTCATGAGTGGGTTCGCTTTCTTTCACCCTTCTGCCATGTGAGGACACAGCAAGAAGGCCCTCACCAGACCAAATGCTGGTGCCTTGATCTTGGACTTCCAGCCTCTAGAACTATGAGGAATAAATTTCTGATCTTTATAAATTACCCAATCTCAAGTATTCTGTTTTACTAGCACAAAACGGACTAAGACACCATGGAATACTACTCACCAGTAAAAAAGAAGCAACTACTGATACATACAACAACTTGGATAGACCTTAAAGAAATTATGCCATGTAAAAAAAAAAAATCCAATCTCAAAAGAATAAATATTTCATGACTCCATTTATATAACATTTGTTAACATAGATACAGAGATGGAGAATAGATTGATGGCTGCCAGACGTTAGAGATAGAGCAATAGGGAGTGGCAATGGCTACAAAGGAGTAGCACAAAGAATTCTCAGGAGTGAGGTACAGTCAAGTATCTTAATTGTCATGACTACACCAAGCTACACATCATGAAATTGCACATAGCTACTACACACACAAATGAGTGCACGTATAATTAGTGAAATCGGAATAAGCTCTATAGGTTGTACCAATGTCAATTTTCTGATTTTGATACAAGTAATCATTCTAGCATTTACGCAAAATTTTAACATTGGGAGAGGTTAGGTGGAAAGGTGCGCAGTACTTTTCTGTACATTTCTTCGCATCCTCCTGTGAATCTATAATTATTTCAGAATAAAAAGTTTAAAAAGAAACAATGCAAGAGCCTTGATAAGACTCAACTCAAAAATAATAGTATAATACTACTAGGGACGACCGGGAAAATGTGAAAAGGAGTGGGTTATCAGAGGATAACAGGAAATTATTGCTCATTTTCTTAGGTGTGACAATCGTATCATACGGTTATGCAAAACAATGTCCTTATTCTTAGAATGTATGTCCTGAAATATTTAGGGGTGAAGTGTTCTTCTTACTTTCAAATGGTTACAAACACATAAAGAAATATACATACATATACACACATAAGTAAATACACAATTACATATACATGTAAACATATATACACACATATATAAATATAAAAAACACATGGGCTTGTGAATATACATACGTATATACTCACAAATATACATGTAATATGCACATAAATACATACACAAAAATATATATGTATGCATAATATACCCCACATATAAATATATATACATATATACACAAATATGTATATATTCACATATACACACAATACACATTATCAACACATAATACATAACAGTCATACATTACATGCATATAAAACACTAATTGGTGAATCTAGGGTTGGGTGACAGGCATTCATTACACTCTTTTTTTCTACTGTTCTGTTAGAGTATTTTAGAAACCTGTCAAAATAGAAAGTAGGCAGGGGAAATATAAGTGCTTCTTAGAGAGGTACTCCATCAAAGATTAGCATTCATTAACACCTTGATGAGAATGACTTTACAATAGCTTTCTCAAAAGGTGTTAAAGAGATGGTCATAAGTGTTCTAGTGGGGAAAAATATGATGCTAACTGGGAGCTGTTTAAAAAAATACCATGGAGTTACCACCCTGGGAAAACGCAAAACTCATAAAGTCCTTTCCAGATGGTAGGTTTTGATGCAGGACAGAACACAGGGAAAGAACCAAATGCAGAATGTCTCTCTATCACTCACTCTCTCTTCAAACTCAGGAAGCACAGAAACCTGGATGATCCAGGTCTGAGGCAGGTCTGATCCAGTGTCTGAGTTAGGGCTGGTATCCCTGGCTGTCCCAATCTCCACCCACTGCCCATGACTCAAAAACCAAGCAACTTCAGAGAACGAACTGCCCCAGGAAGAAGCCAGGGCTCTGATTTTCACTCTAATGCAAGCTCCTTATCACCTGCATCCCAGCAGCGAACAGTTGCTGGGCCAGCAGCCCAGTCCTAGGGGTTGTAAAGATGCTGGCTGTTACCGGGTGAGGACAGGGTTTAAAGTAGAGGAGGGACACGATCTGACAGGCTCCCAGTGCATCCTGGGGAAGGAAGAGGCGGGGAGCAGGAAGGTGCCTGTACCAGGGAGAAGGGGTGTGATGAAGTCGTTGAATTCTGGAAATTTCTTAGGGATAGAGGAATGGAATTTTGGACAGGGACGATGTGGGGGGCGGGGAAAAGAGAAACATCCAGGTAGCCATTGAGGACTGTGGGTGGAAGGAGTCACTATGTACAAGACACTAGAAGGACTGGGTTTGGGGGAAACCAGATGCCCAGATCAGGACCCTAAAGCCTGGGATTCCTGTCCCCAGGGGTCAGCTTCTGGGCATGAGAGGTTTGTGGGGAGGCATAACCCAGTCTGCAAACGCGAGCGAGGCATGCAGAGCAGTCGGCGGAGTCGGCACCCAGCGAGGGGAGGAAGCCTGGTTGGCGGAGTTCACGGTCGGTGGGAAAGGGAAGGAAGCGTTCACGCACCCCCGCAAGCGCAGGGAGCGGACGCGGTCTTGGGGAGCAGAGGGGAGGGAAGAGGAGGCAGCCAAAGGGTTGCTGGCGAAGGAGGACGAGAAGAGGGGACAGCGTCTTCGGGAGCGGGACGCAAGAAACGGAACAGGTAGTCCAAACCCAACCCCGTGAGGAGGGAGAAGAGAGGCGTGTCCGAGGGGTGTCCACAGCCCGGGGGACAAATGGCGACCCGCGCCCGCAGAGAAGGGAGAAGACCAGGGAGCCCGAGCCAAGGAAAGGGGGAAAGGAGGGGACCCGCCCCCGCCCGGAGCGGGGACGGAGAGAGAAGGGTCCGCGCCGGGCGCTGAGAGGCCCGCAGCCTGGCCCCGCCTGGGACCCCAAGCCAGCGGCCCCCGGAACAGGACCGCCACCCAGTCCTTGCTTTTCTGGATCCCCTGACGCCCGCCATACCCAGGCCTAAGCCTCGTCTCCGCGACTCCGGGGGCTGTGAGGGGAACCAAGGCCCCGCTGGCCGCAAGAGGGCGGACTCACCTCTCGCCGCCACAGCGTCCACGTCGGCGCAGCTCCGGACTCTGCGCATGCGCAAGCGCAAGCGCAAGCGCTGGGTTCCCGGATGCGGCTTTCCGGAAGACGCTAGACGTCGAGGGCGGAGGCTTAGCAGGCGGAGTGCAGGTTGCTGTGGCCGGGTTTCCCCGGCACTGGGAACGGGGTGCTGCGTTTCCTTTCACCCTGGTTTTCGTCTTCCCTCCCCGCTGACAACAGAGAAACGCCGGGGGCACACTGGGGCTGCCCGGCGCTCGTCCCCGAGACTGCCCATTCCTCAATCACCCCAGCTCCGGGCCCCCACGGACAGGCGTGGTCCCCCGCGAACTCATCCGCGCGGAGTCGTGCTCGTGGGTTCTTTCGTGCCTAGCGCTTCCTCTTAGCGTCCTCAGCTGCCCTGGTGGCCGTGGCTCCCTCTTTTACATGGTCGTATAATACTCCATTCATCTTTCCTCCTGTGGACGGCCATTGGGGCTGTTTGCAATTTGGAGTTACTACAGACGAGCCTGCTGTGAACGTCCAGGGTGTGTCTTTCGGTGAGCGCGTGTTCGCACGTCTGTCAGGTGAATAGCTAGGACTGCAGCTGCTTGTTCCTGGGTGCAGATGTTCAGGTTAGGAGGCAAGACTAGTTGATGAACCGCAGTCGAAAATAAGAGTCCCAGTTCTACACCCTTGTCAACACATGGTACTAGCTGTTGTCTTCATTGTAGCCATTAGGGTGGTGTGAAGTGTTACCTCATTGTGGTTTCTCTAGTGAGTAATGAAATTGGACACATTTGCATGTATTTACTGGCCATTTGGATTTCCTCATTCGTGAGGGTGCCCGTTCAAGTCATTTGCCAACTTTTCTCTCACTCGGGTCTTCATTCTTATCGAGACACTGAGTTCTTTATGTATTCTGGAAACCAGACTTTGGTGGGATCTGTGAGCCACAGTGGTCTTCTCCCACTCTGTCATTTGCCTTTTCACTTGCATAGTCAACACAAGTTCTTTTTTTATGCTTTTTTCATTTTATCCTCTTTTTTTGCCTCTAGATACGATGCCTTACATAATGAACACAAGTTCTTAATATAACCATGTTTATCAATCTTCCTTGATTTGGTTAAGAAATGTTTGCATATGCCAAAATCACACACAACTTCTGCATTTTCCTCTGGAAGCTTTATCATTTTGCCTTTCCCACTTAGAGCAGGAGTCCTTAGGAAATGATTTATGTACATGGCAGGGGTCCTCAAATGATAACCCATGGGTCAAATCCAGTCCATGTCTGTTTATATATGGCCCAAGAGAAAAGAGTGTTTTTTACATTTTGGAATGGTTAAAAAATTTTTAAAGAATAATATTTCATGACACATGAAGATGATATGAAATTCAAATTTTAGAGTGCATAAATAAAATTTTATTGGAACACAACCATTTGTGTTCAGATTTGTTTGCAGATTGTCTACAGTGGCTTTCACACTAAAATGGTTGTATAGTTGAGTTGTAGCAGAGATTACATGGTGCACAGTCTAAAATATTCATGATGTTTCCCTTTGCAGAAAAATTTGCAGACTCTTTGTATAATGTGCGGTACGACCACTGGATTTTAACTATTTTAAATGTCTATAAAACCATGAGATATCATTTCACACCTACTAGGATGGCTATAATAAAAAAGACAAATAACTAGTGTTGGTAAGGATGTGGAGAAATCAAAATACTCAAACAATGCTGGTAGGAATATAAAATGATGCAGCTGCTTTGGACAAATCTGGCAGTTTCTCAAAAGGTTAACATAGAGTTACCATGTGACCTGGCAGTTCCATTCCTAGGTATCTACACAAGAGTACTGAAAACATATATCAACACAAAAAATTTGTACATAAATGTTCAGAGCAGCATTATTCGAAATAGCTAAAAGTGGAAACAACACAAATGTCCATCAACTAATGAATGGATAAACAAAATATGATATAGCCAGGGCCCAGGCAATCCCCCTCTACCTGGGGTATTGTGGGCCTCATGGCAGATGGAAAGAGGACAGGTGGATCCACACAGGGGCTCCAGAAGCTTCTGCTCCGCGGGAGGACACCACACTTTGACTCACCTTTCATTGCTAAAGCAAGTCCACCACCAGGCCTGAAGTCACTGAGGCAGGGATGTACAATCCTCCCTTGAGGAGAGGCAGCAAATATTTTCAACGATAATACAGGTTACCACAGTTATCTTAATTCATAATTTTTTTTGGCATGGCAATAATGTCTTAATAAATAGCCCCATCACCCACCAGCCCCATCTCTTCCCATCTTCCAGTCCCAGTCACAGTGGCCTCCCCACTATTCCTAAACATGCCAGGCATGTTCTCATCTCCCAGCCTGTGCAATTGCTGTTCCCTCTGTGGGGATCTTTGTCCCCCAATACCTGCCCTCACCTCCCACAGATCACTTCTCAAATATCCTTCTCAGTGTGGCCTTCCCTGAGCTCTATTTAAAATTGCAACTGCCCCTGTCCAACACACGCACTCCCTGTCCCCTTTCTCTGCATTATTTCTCCCTAAGGCATTGACTGCCATCTGAAAAATAACACGTTGTACTGATGTATGTCTCCCAGTGGACTGTAAACTCCTTGTTCTGTTTTCTGCTGTACCCCCAGCCCTTAGAATCCTGCAGCAGGCACTCAATGTGTGCGTGTTGAACCAAAAGAGTGACATGAAAGTGAACCAGCACAGTGAACAGTGGGCAGCCGTACCTTTGGTGTGCATCTTTGTTTTTCAATTCTAAAGTGATCCTTCCTCTCTGGGGGAAAATAAAAAAAGAAGAAAAGAAAAAGAAGACCTGGAATGTAAAGAAAAGTATGAACCCAAAAAATAGCATCCGGAATCTCACCTGTCACCAGCAATCATTATTAATGTCTTGGAAAATGTCTTCCAGTTCCATTCATTCAATCAACAAACGTTTGATGAGCATCTCAGATTTGAGCAGGTTGGTCCCATAGGGGCTAATGGTGAGCACTACAGACCATGTGTTCACATGGAGCTGTCTGAAGCAAGATGGACATTTATCAAACAATCGTGACAACATCAATGTGTGAACCGTAACAGGGAAAAGAACAAAAGAACAGAGGGCTTCAAGAGGAGGAGGGATTAAGCAAGGGGTGGTGAGAGAAGACTGCCCCACGGGGGAGCAGCATGTGCTGATGCGGGAGGGGACATGGGTGTGGGGAGGAGGCACACACAGCCTCGTAGGCCTTGGAGCATATTACCTGAGCAGAGAAGAGCAACCAGCATGGAGACCCAGAGACGTGGGAAAAACAGAGGGAAACTAGGCAGCCAGATGAAGAAGAAATGGTTGAGAAGGGAGGAGGGAAGCCAGGGTGGGCCATGTCATGGACTGACAGAGGGTGGGATTTAGGGAGGAGAGACCCCCTCCACTGTGAAAAATACCAGGGAGAAGCAATAAGGCCGTGTGTGGAATCCCTTCATGCACAGCAACTGGAGAAGAGACAAGTGTGGAGAGCAAGACCGCCTTTGCCAAATAAAAAATTCACATTTACATGAGCAACACCTAAAACCTTGAAAGATAATGGGTTGAGAGTAGTCAAGTCCTGGTAGAAGAAAATAGCAAATACTTAAGTATATGGACGTGTCTAGGCTTCGAGTAACCAAATGAATTCAAAAGAATCAGTGGTTATTTCTGGTAAAATGGATTAATTTTTAAGTAAAAAATTTTTAGTGTACCATTCAGTGGTTTTTATTATTTTCACAAGGTTGTGCAGCAATCACAACTCTCTAATACCAGAATGTTTTCGTCACCCTCAAAAGACACCCTTTTTCCATTAATAGTGACTCCCCATTCCCCGCTTTCTCCAGCCCCTGGCAACCACTAATCTTTCTGTCTCAATGGATTTGCCTGTTCCGGAAATTACGTATCAACGGAATCATACAACATGTGGTCAGTCCTTTGTGACTAGCTTCTTTCGCTTAGCATAATGATTGTTTTCAAGGTTCCTTCATGTTGTAGCATGGATCAGGACTTTGATCCTTTGTATGACTGAATAATATTTCATCATATTGAAATATTGAAAATATTTGCTGCCTCTCCTCAAGGGAGGATTGTACATCCCTGCCTCAGTGACTTCAGGCCTGGTTGTGGACTTGCTTTAGCAATGAAAGGTGAGTGAAAGTGTGGTGTCCTCCCGCGGAGCAGAAGCTTCTGGAGCCACTGTGTGGATCCACCTGTCCTCTTTCCATCTGCCATGAGGCCCACAATACCCCAGGTAGAGGGGGACTGCCTGGGCCCTGGGGTGCCGGCAACGCGGAGTAAAGTGAGGCAAGCCACAATACACACGTAACCCTGGGTGTTAGGAGCCTTTGAGGTTTTCACTGTCGCTTGTTACTTCAGCATAATTTGGCTTAAGCTAACTGATACAACACACCACCAGAAAAACTGCCCTTTTAGAGGGTAAAATTACTTTTATAGCCTCTATACACCCATCAGAACTGAAATTAAAAATAAAATCGATATGCCAAGTGCTGATGAGGATGTGGAGTGACAGGAACTCTCATTTGTTGTTGGTGGGAACAAAAGGGGTAGAGTCGCTTTGGAAAGGAGTTTTGTAGGTTCTCACCAAGTTAAACAGACTGACCATATGGCCCAGCAATTGCACTCCTGGGCATTTACCCCAGAGAAATGAAAAGTTACAATCGGACAATATTGGACTTTATCAGAGACCTGTGCTCCTGGAGAAATCCCCCCTCCCTTTTGTGTTCTGAGAAGCAGATAACTGCACCGTGGACCAGCCTACTCTCACTGCTTTCATGTATTCCAAGGTGAGACCTGGGTGGGGAGGGCCTCCACCCTTCCTCGTGTCTCCCATAAGACTCACAGATGACTCTTACGTGTATCTGCCTCTGTGACACTCTAGACCTCCTTCCTTTCCTTTGAGATGTCCCGCATTAATAAATCCAGAGAAGCAGGTAGATTAATAGAAACTTGGAACATGCTGGCCATAGTTACATATATCCCCACCCTCCTAGTCTGTATACGGGATGAGAGAGCCCATCTGGAACTTCTACAATTTGTGGGCTCTGGATTTGTTTTATGATGCTGAAAGGTGTCTTGCCGTTGGCCAACCAAGGGGGAGGGAATGGGGAAGAGAGGTTAAGAGGCATTTCATCCTTTTCTGAGATTCTATTGCTCCATGAATTAATATGAACGTGTCTGCAGACAGGATTTGTCTTAGGAGTTTTGCAGCGCTTTGCCCTGAAGGAATATGTGAACGTGTTAGTTTGCATTTCAAATGCTGTTGCACTCGGAACGGCGTCTCTGAAAGACAGTAGCGACTGTATCCCACAAGGCGCCACGTTTCTCAGACCTAAAGGTTTGGATTTGCTTTGTAAAGCAAAGCGAATCTGTTAAAAACTACAGGATGAGAGCTGACAATGGAGTGCCCCCTAGAACAGACAGCTGCCCAAATGGCTAAAAGCAAGCTCCTGTTTAAACTCTCCAGACTACCTGTCTCCATTCACAATAACCTAATAAATATGGAGCCAACATATCTCTGTTTAACCCCTCTGTTAAGTGATAAACTTACCTTAGAACTTACCTTAGAACGTAGAACTCTCTCAAGGACCCTGTGATTACACTTAGGGCCCACCCCAACAATCCAGGATAATTTCATCTCAAAATCCTTAACTTCATCACATCCTCAAAGTTCCGTTGCCATATAAACTAACCTTCGAGGGTTCCAGGGATTAGGATGTAGACCTACTTGGGAGATCATCACCAGCCTACCACAGGACGGTCATGTTAATAAAGGACCGCAGCCCGGCCTGTGGGAGGACAGGGAGGGTCTGGGTCTGAACATGAATGGCTAAAACTAGCTTTACTGGCCATGAGTCAGTAGGGCCTATAAGGGGGGATGTGCGTGTCTGCCGCGCCTCAGTCTTTCATAGCTTTGGGTGTCAGACCTGATGAGGATGAAGCCCAGCATCCAGTTTTGGTGTCTCCAAAGCAAGGGCTGCTACAAGTGGAGAGTTTTCCTTTTGCCCCAAGGGAGCTGATTTTCTAATTTGTATGAAAGCAAGGTGTGGGCTGGTGGTGATCCTGCCAGAACCTTAGCAAGGAGCCAGCTACAAGAATACAGGGCACATCAGAGAAGGATTTTCTTTAGCTTTGTCTTGCTGCTGTAGAAAATTACCACAAACCTGCTGGGTGCAGTGGCCTGCACCTGTAGTCCCAGCTACTCAGGAAGCTGAGGCAGGAGGATCATCTGAGCCTAGGAATCTAGGACCAGGCTGGGCAACAATGTGAGACCCCATCTCAAAAGGAAAAAGAAAAGAAAAGAAAATTACCGCAAATTAATAGCAGCTTAAAATAGCACAAATTCATTATCTCACCGTTCTGGAGGTCAGAAGTCCAGGTGGGTTTTGCTGGAATCAAAGTGTTAGTGGGCCCAGGCTCTTATCCGGAGGCTCGGAGAGAATCCAGCTCTAGGCCCATTCAGGTTGTCAGCAAATCCACGGTGACTGTAGGACTGAAGTCCCCATTTCTTGCCATTTGTCGATCAGCGGTCAGCTTCTAGACGCCACCCACACTCGCTGGCTCGTGGCCTCTCCAGCTTTAAAACCAGCAACAGTGAGTTGAGTCCTCCCTACGCTTCAGATTTTCCTACCTTCTTCTTCCTCAACATCCGACTCCAGCCAACGTTCTCTGCTTTTAAGGGCTGTGTGTCAGACGGGCCCCAGTCCGATAATCCAGAGTAACATCCTGTCTGTCCCACGTCCCACTCACACCACACTCCCGACTGCCAGGCTGCCATGGGATCCATCTGGAACTCACCCCGTCCACACCTCACAGCTTCTTCTCTGGTCAGGAATTGCCATCGTCTGTAACCGGATTACAGCGGCGCCCCCCTTATCCACAGTTTCATTTTTCACAGTTACCCACAGTCAAACTCGATCTGAAAATATTAAATAGAAAATCCAGAAATAAACAATTCATGAGTTTTAAATTGTGTGCCGTTCGGAGTAGCGTGACGAAATCTCATGCTGTCCCTCTCCACCCCGCCCAGGACAGGAATCCTCCGTGCTGTACACGCCACCAGCCCGTTAGTCTAGAAGCCACCTTGGTTATCAGATTGACTGTCACAGTGTCACAGTGCTTGTGTTCAAGTTACCCTTTTCTTTTTTCTTTCTTTTCTCTTTCTTTCTTTTTCTATTTCTCTCTTTTTTTGAGACAGAGTCTCTCTCTGTCACCCTGGCTAGAATGCAGTGGCATGATCCTAGCTCACAGCAACCTCAAACTGCTGGGCTCAAGCGATTCCCCTGCCTCAGCCTCCCAAGCAGCTGGGACTACAGGTGTGTGCCCCACAACTGGCTAATTTGTAGAGGTGGCTTCTTGCTCTTGCTCAGGCTGTTCTTGAACTCCTGGCCTCAAGGAATCCTCCCACCTCGGCCTCCCAGAGTGCTAGGATAACAGGCGTGAGCCACCACACCCAGCCAAGTAACTCTTATTTTATAGATTAATGTATAAAGTAAACTTTATCATAGGTATGTATGTATAAGAAAAAACAGTATACAGTCAGCCCTCTGTATCTGTGGGTTCCACATCCATGGATTCAACCAACCTCGGATTGAAAATATTTTAAAATATTGTACTGAACATGTACTGACTTTTTTCCTTGTCATTATTCCCTAAACAATACAGTGTAACTAGTTATGTAGCATTTATATCCTATTAGGTATTATAAGTATTCTAGGGATGATCTGAAGTACATGGAAGAATGTGCATAGGTTATATGCAAACACAGTGCTGTTTTATATCAGAGACTTGAGCATCTGAGGCAGGTCCCAGAACCAATCCCCACAGATACCAAGGGACAACTGTCTGTAGGGTTATCTGAGGTTTCAGGCATCCACTGGAGGTCTTAGAATGTACCCCCCAGGGATATGGGGGTACTACTCTATTTTCATTATAGCAGTGATTCCTGCTCATTTGAGAAAACTGTTTTAAAAAAATGAAAGAGCAAGGGGAAAACAGTTCACAACAAAATCACGTGGACTCACTCCAATTCTGTGGTTGACACCTCTTCTTCAGGGTGCTCACCCTCTGGCCACGGCTGGTCTGGAGATGAGCCCCGGTCCCAGAATCTGAAACGTGAAACCAAGAGGCAGAGATGCTGCTCATGTTAACACTGTAACACATGCATATTTTACTTGGAGCAGCAGATGCCAAAGTGGAGTGCCTAGCCCAGCCCCTGGGGGTTCCGGAAAGTCCACCAGGAATTTCTGTGTGCCTTAAGATACTCTTGTTACCATAGAGGCACACATCTGTAACTTATAAATGACCGTACATATCCTGGGAATGTGAGACCATTTTTTCTTAATGATGGAGTTCTTGCAAAGCATGAACAAGAAATGTATACATCTCAGCCTCAGCACTGTTCACAATCTGGGCTGGATAATGTGCCGTGGGGGCCATCCCTCGCCTCGACATGCAGGACGCCGGTAGGTTCCACGCATGCTCTATCACAACCACCCAGATGTCTCCACATGTCCCATGGGGGCAAAATCACCATGGGATGAAAACCAATGCTCTAAAGTAGAATAGATAACTATGTCGAAGTGTATGCATACAGTGGAATATGGATTGAGAAGAAACTGTAACTATAGAGCAACATGGATGAGTCTAACGTACAACCTTGAGCAACAGAACATGCTGCCTGATTCCTTCGTACAGAACACACAGTAAGGCAGACCTTGCTCAAGGGGGCTACCACAATGCGATTTTGTAGGTAGGGCTTCAGAGAGACCGGACTCACGTCAATTCCGACAAGGACGAATGGGGGTCAGTGGATGGAAAATTACTAAGAGAAGACATCAGGGATGAGGGTGGAATTCTTGTTAGGCAATAATTTGCTGAAGGCAGACCACGGTGAGAAGATACTGAGGGTGGGGGATCAGGAACTCAATCAGGTATCAAGGGTGGAGGGAGGATTTTTGCTAAACTCTTCTAACTTAGCAGGATTCTTTCTTAACCTGGATCCTACAAGGACAGAGAGAGAAGCCCAAGGTCAGGCTTCATCGAGCAGAGGACTCGGGGGGCCTGATTAAAGTTGGGCTGAGCAGTCAGTGTACTTGTCTTTATGTGGGTTACATGGAAAGCACGCACACACAGATCTCTGGACAGCCTTCTGGACAACACAAGCCCCACCCTGTTGCCAGGGTCCCTGGGACACAGCACCACCCTCTCCCGATCCGAGGTGGCCCAGTGAAGGGCCCCACCAAGCAATCACTGATGCATGGGGGACTCCATTTCTCCAAACGCTTTCCCAGGGCCATTCTCTTCCCTCCCCTCCCCTGCCTCCATTACCCACCTCCTCTCTCCTCTCTCCGTCTCTCAATACTGGAGTTAACTCTCTCCTAGCTGCCAAGGCTGGCTGCCCACCCTCCCCTGTGACACAGCCAACATGGCTGGTGCGGGTCGGCCGCATCTTAGGAGGAAGGCTGTGCTGTGGAGGCTGCAGTTAGACAGCAGGCGTGAGAGGAGACACACCTGGGAGAGGGCACGGCTGCCGGAAGGCCCTCCCTGCTGGCCTGAGGTCAGGTCCATAGAATCCCAGCACGCTGGAGACACGAGGTCACAGTCCCAGAACCTCGATGCTGCCAAGCCCAGGGAGCTCACCCATTCCAGTCCTGCACTTGCTATCTTCACTGTCTGGCCACTGTACTTTTCCCCGTGGGGAGAGGCACTGCATGCAGCTTGACTGCATGCAGAGTGGGATCCATTTAACCCCTGAAACTTCAGCTAAAACCCAGCCCAAAGTTCTGCCCACCCTTTGGACCCAAAAGAGAAGTATCTGGTGAAGAAATCTGGGGACAAGACAGCTGAATGTGAGACTGGGAGTGTCAAGGATGAGACGGGACTGAATCTGCAGAGGGATATTTCTAGACACGGCTACCTTGTTCCTTCTCGCTGAGGTTTCTTCTCCTCTTTCTTTCCTTTCTCTCCCATCTCCTGGCTTGCAACTCTGGGGGTGGTTGGAGCATTTATAGAGAAGGGTGCACTTGGAGAGAAATGGATTTGATGGGGCAGGAAAACTTGTTCCACATTTCTCTTCAGCTAACGCTGCCTGGGAAGAGGCCACGTGCCACGCACTGAGGCCTGCTATGCTCCCAAAGCAGCTCATCTTGAGACAGCAGTTCAGAACTCAACTCCAACAAACTTAAGGATCAGGATTGCTTACCCACTCTTTCGAGAATCTGATGAAAGGACCCTCTTCACAGAAAGAAAAGGACGTCCACACGCATGGACCAGCCAGTCTTCACAAAAAGCCTGCCCACACGTCCAAGGACCACGGGATGGGCTGCACTGGAGGCAGGTGGGGACTCCACTTCCCCTGTGGGGTTTATCTGAGGTTCTTCCTGTCAGGGAAGGGCACCCACGTGGAGAAGCCACAGATGCCTGGCTGGGTTCTAACTCATGCAACTCACAGCCTTCATGAGCTCCGAGTGGCTTTCACTTGCCCTCCACAGTCGAAATTCCAAGGGGATCCATTCACAGAGCTCTGAGGCTGTGTTGACCAGCTTGACTATTTCACTTGGCCAGCAATGCACCACCTTGGAAGGGACATTCCAGGGTCACCCCAGACTTCTCTGCAGCCTCCTGCTCCCCCTTCTGAGACCCACTCTCTCCTCCACAATGGCACCCCTCATAATCCAAGTTCCATAGAAGAAAATGATTCTCATGCCCTGGGCTGTGGATGCTCTGGTTCCAGAGGAGCTTCTGCCTGGGCCCCCCCACCATGCTTCCCGCTGCCCTGGATCCCTGATCCAGCCTCTACCGGCAAAGAGGTTCCAGAGAAACCCCCAGTTCACCTTTTGGCTTGACTTTATTTAGTCATTATCAAATTATTATACCAAAATGTATAATCTATAATAGAGGGGAAAAAAACATACACAATTCCAGTTCCACAAGGAAACCATGTTTATTTCATCATTCACTTCCAATCTATGTTTATATGTGCACATCTGTTTACACAGCTGTAAAGACAGCAAACCTTCTTACACCTCCTTTTTACCATATTATAAGCATTTTCAACATGGCAACAAAACCTTTATAATTATGGTTCAGAGAAGCTGAATGGGACAAAGTAGACGTGTCCTAAATGAATAACGATGGTGCTGAGGGGGGTCATAACATAAACATAACAACTCAGTATTTTTTGTTTCAACAACTAAAAGAACAAATTGTGTTTATTAGAAGCAGCTCTTTCCATCTTAGCATGAGCCTTTTTTAGCTTTAAGAGGGCCGACTTTGCTGTTCAGTCACAAGCAATTCCTTCATCGAGTCTCCCCTTCCAAAACAAGTCCTGAGCACTCTGTCAGGACTCAAACACAGAAATGCTTTCAAATAGCAAAACCTAACTACAGTTCTGTAGTGCTGTGGGTGGGGTGTTGTACAGGATCTCTCACCAATACCTGTTTGCTGACACAGAAAAGATAGTAAGAGCTCCTACCAAAAGCTTCTCTTCCTGATTATATTTAAAAGGTCTGATTCTATTAAGAGTTTGCTTATGTACAATAAGGTGGAAACTCCCTATTAAAGGATTCCTCATACCGATTACATACCGAATACCTTCACAGGTTCTTTCTAGTTTAAAAACTCTGATGCAGAAGTGGGTAGATATCTCAATGGAAGTACCTTCCTCACATATTCATGTTTTATTCCAGTGTATGTGCTGTCATGTTTGGCATAGGCTGAATCATCCCTGAAGCTTTGTCCACATTTATTACCATCCTATGTTCCCTCCAGGAATTCCCCAACGAATAGATTCAATAATATGGCTAAGGAATGTCTCACATTCATCAATTCACTGGATGGCTTAAAGAATTCTGTTGGGCACAGTGGCTCATGCCTGTAATCCCAATACTTTGGGAGGCCAAGGGAGGAGGATCGCTTGAAGCCAGGAGTTTGAGACCAGCCTGAGCAACATAGCAAGATCCCATCTCTTAAAAAAAAAAAAAATCTTTTCTACTGACCAGGGAGAAGTCACATCTGAAGACACACCTTCACGTAAGATTCTGAGAGCAAGTTGGGAGAGGCCCACGTTCATTATGTTTCCATGGGTTGCTCTCCAGGGTGTGTCCTTTGATGTCGGACAAGAGATGAGCTCTTTCTGAATATTTTCCCACATTGAGGACATTGGCTGGGTCCCTCCCTGCTATGGAGTCTCTGATGTACTGCCAAGTGAGAGTTCTGTTTGAAGGACTTCCCACATTCTAGACACTGATATGGGGTCTCCTTGGTGTGAATTCTCTGGTGCTTGGTCAGACAGGAGCTGTCCCTGAAAGCTTTGCCACACTGATTACACTCATAGGGCTTCTCACCAGTATGAGTCCTCTGGTGCCGAATGAGGCCAGCAATGTTCCTAAAAAGTTTTTGACACTGATTACAGCCATAGGGCTTCTCACCAGTATGAATCCTTTGGTGCCTGATGAGGTATGCACTCTCAATGAATGTTTTCCCACACTCTTTACATTCATAAGGTTTCTCTCCAGAATGGATCTTTTGATGCACAATGAGGTGAGAGTTTCGGTTGAAGGATTTCCCGCACTCTGCACATTCAAAGGGCTTTTCTCCAGTGTGAGTCCTCTCGTGCTGGGTAAGGTATGAGCCATCTCGGAAAGCCTTTCCACATTTGCTGCACTCATAGGGCTTCTCACCAGTGTGGATTCTGAGATGCACAGTGAGGTGGGAGATGTCGGTGAAGGGTTTCCCACACTCATTACATCTATATGGTTTCTCCCCCGTATGAGTTCTTTGATGCAAAATCAGGGATGAATTCCGGTTGAAGGTTTTTCCACATTCTAGACATTCATAAGGTTTCTCACCCGTGTGAATTCTCTGGTGTTGTGTTAGAGCTGACCCATCACTGAAAGCTTTCCCACATTTATTGCATTTATAGGGCTTCTCTCCTGTATGGATCCTTTGGTGCACAATCAGGTTGTAGTTCTTGGAGAAGGATTTTCCACACGCATTACAGGTATAAGGTTTCTCTCCAGTGTGAGTTCGGTGATGCAAAACAAGAGAAGAGTTCCGTTTGAAGCATTTGCCACATTCGGTACATTTGTACTGTTTCTCTCCAGGGTGATTCCTCCTGTTTTCATTAAGAGATGAGCTCAGGGTAAAGATGTCCCCAAAGTCCTTACCCTCGTACAGTTTCTTGCCTCTTTTCATTACTTTTTGATGACCAAGAGAGGTAAAATGGTTAAAAGATTTAACATTTTCACTATAAGGTTTCCCTCTCATTTGATTTCTTCCAAATTGAGTAACTTCCATGGAATAGCTGAAGCCTTTTCCGTAGGCATCGCTGTCACTAGTTCTCTTAGCTGCATAACTTTTGGGACAGCTGTGTAAGGCTGGGTCACAATCCAGACTTCTAACATCTGCGTCACGTATATGGAAGCCGTTTGTGGTAAGAACTGTCTGAGGTGATGAAAGGTCTGAGCTTGCACTCAAATGCTCCCCCAAACCAGGATATTCACTAACTGCTTCCTGAGCCCCTGGTTTCTCTGGAGTTAAAGATGATCGCCTCAAATGTTTCTGCTGGTTCTCACAGTCCCAACCATCCCCTAGAATGGAGAAACAAGGAACCTCCTTCGTAAATCCTTCCATCTCTATGGCACAAGATAGTTCTTCCTCACGAATATTCTGAGCTGTCATTTTCAGTCTCATGCCCCAGGCTGAAAAGGAAAAGGCAGACTTAGGTATATGAAACTAAATCTGGAAGAGGAATGGAAAATAATGATGGGCCAACTATGCATTTTTACTTGTTTTCCTTTTAAAATTCAGATCCATACAAGGGGAGGTAAAATGAGAGCCAAGGGCAGATTTGAAAAGAGCCCCACAGCATTTTCATCTTCCTAGAGAGTAGGTAGGAGGAACAGTATTAGGGGTAAATATCACCAAAAGGATTAGTTTGATATGTGGGAGACCCTAGACTGGCATCACAGCTCACACTGGAATTCCATCTTGGCCACTGCATCCTTGTCCCTGTTCCCACTGCCTATCAGCACACAATTCCAACGCCCCAACTTCACAAGGTGCTTACAACAGCACTGAACATGCAGTTCCCTGTGGTTAGAGTTCTGCATTCATGGATGGGACACAGCACAGGCTCAGACCTGAAAGTTCT